TTGAATTATATATTTTATTTTATTTATATCCTTTGAATTAATAACTACGAAGAAAAGGTAACAAATTTATAAAATTCTACTGTCGTATGTATATTTGAAAAAGTTATAAATTATTAATAATAAATTGTTTAAACAAATAAAAAATCAACAAAACATTAATAAAATATATTATTTGGTAACATATAACAATTTTGGAAAAAAACTGAATGATTCTAAGTTTTTATTGCAATATACAAAGAAGAAAACATTTGGCCCACCCTGGGTGGGATCTTGTCAACCGTGTACATAAAAAGTATCCAGTCCGGCGAAGGTTAAGTTAGGTCCTTTTTATTTTTTTTATTTATTTTTTTTTAAAAAGCTAAAAATGTGTATTTTCACCACAAAAAATATTGAGATGTCCTTTTTTGTTATTTTAGAGATATTAATTAATTATTGTTAATAAAAAATGAAGTATTTCACAAATAAATAAAGTTATTGCAATCCTGATGGTACCAATTGAAAGTTGACACAATTTTGCATCCAACGAGCCCTATATGAAGTACTTTGGATTAATGGATTGTTAATAAACAATTGTCTAACATGACAATTGTTTATAAAAAATCCTGTATACCAAAATAGTCCATGTAGAGCTCGTTGGATGCGGAGTTACGTCAGCTTTCAATTGGTACCTTCAGGATTGCAATAACTTTATTTATTTGTGAAATATTTAATTTTTTATTAACATTAATTAATTAGTTAATTAATTAATATCTCGTGAATAACAAAAAAGGACATCTTAATATTTTTGTGTTCAAAGTATACGTTTTAAACTTTCTAAAAAAAATTTGAAAAATAAAAAAATGACCGATTTTTAAAAAATGGTGTAAAATTTTGAATGTTTTTTAACCAATCGAAAGAGCACAAAAAAACATTTGGTAAATTATATGACAAAATTTTTTTCATTTACTAATTATACAATATTTACAATTTTTAGTTAATTAATTATTAAGGTTAATAAAAAATGATTTATTTTATAAACAAATAAAGTTTTCGTAATGCTGACGTTTCTAAACAAAAGTTGACATAATTCCGCATCGAACGAGCCCTATGTGAGGTACTTTGGATTAGTGGATTGTTAATAAACAAAAGGCGAATTACAGCCCGATCCGATCAATTTTTTTTTCACTTAATACGCTACAGGAATTTTATATATATATGGGACGTTTCACGTTAAGCGGGCCACCCCGATGGCCAAAATTGAGAGCTTCCAAAAAAATCGCTTATACCCAAAAATTATTCATATATATAAGTACTTTCAAAAAATATGTGGCCTTTTGAAAAATCTAATATGGCGGCCCTAATATAACCTACAAATGTGTCTAAAATTAAATAAGAGGCCTAAAAGTGCTAATAAAAAGGGATTAAATGAGGAAATCACCTATGTATTGGCGGTAAAATTAGCACTAGGATACATACTTTGTATTCCGCAAGCAATACCGGTAATTTGATATTAATTTTCAGAAAATAAATATGGCGGATCCAATATGGTGGAAAAAAAAATTTTAAAATGCATCGGATTTGCTTGAAAGTTGTTACTCGGGGGTTTCTGAGGTCGCTGCTGCCGAATCTGATGTTAATTTTCAGAAATTCAAAATGGCGGATCCAATATGGCGGACAAAAATTTTTTTAATTCATCAGATTTCGTTGAAAGTTGTTACTCGGGGGTTTTTGGGGTCGCTGATACCGAATCTATTGTTAATTTTCAGAAATTCAAAATGGCGGATCCAATATGGCGGACAAAAATTTTTTTAATTCATCAGATTTCGTTGAAAGTTGTTACTCGGGGGTTTTTGGGGTCGCTGATACCGAATCTATTGTTAATTTTCAGAAATTCAAAATGGAAGATCCTATATAGCAGACAAAAAATTTTTTTAATCAAATGATTCGGTTGAAAGTTGTTACTAGGAGGTTTATGGGGTCGTTGATAAAGTATCTAATATTGGTTTTTGGTTTTTAGAAAGTTTTATATGGTGCGTTAAAAAAATATTTTTTCTTAGTTTGCCCCGTGTAGAAAATAAAGATACTTTCTCCATGAGGAAGCAAAAATTAAAAAACATCAATTACTTCATCCTTAATTGGTTTAATAATTATCTAATTAAGTTATTATTGATATTTATTAATTTTTTACGGCGCGCCTTGAAAAATTAATTTATGTAAAAAATAAAGAATTTTCGTGAATTTATTTTGCCAAATATTTGGTTTAATGAATATTATTAGACTCTTATTTAGCCTAAGTTAATTTCAATATTTGTTTACATGTTTTAAATTTTCATACTCATTATATGAAAAGATCTTGAAAATTATTTAAATAAAGTATTAAAAAGTAAAGGAAACAAATAAAGAAATTTTTATCCACAACAATTATTATGTATTATTATTATTATTATTTAAATCTTGACGTTAAGTTTGTGTTTCGAATGTAGTTTAAATTGCGCGCGCCATTTGTTTAATTTACGCTGTTGTCTGCTAGATGTCGATCATGATTGTATTCATTTCTATCTCGCAACTGACATTGAACCTCAATACATTAAATAGACGTGCTTTTGTGGCTATTCTTTTTTACGTCGTTAACCATTGACGATTATTTAGTGTATATACCTTCGTAATTTCTACTGCGTTGTAGGTTTGTTTCGAATTTCAGTTTTTTCTAATTTTCAGAGGATAAAAAAATTTTTTTTTGTTCTTTGTTTTTTTAAAACACTGAATATTGACTTCGGACACATTTGAATCAGTCCTTTTTAGGACTAAAATAAGTAGTTTTATAAAACTATTTTCTTTTTGAATTATAACATTTTTTTCCCTTATTTTGCAGATTTTTTAATAATACAGAATATTTATTTCAGATAAATATTTCAATCAGTCCTTTTCAGGACTAAATAAATAGTTGACTAAATAAATAGACCCCAAGAACCCCCGAGTAACAACTTTCAACGAAATCTGATGAATTAAAAAAATTTTTGTCCGCCATATTGGATCCGCCATTTTGAATTTCTGAAAATTAACATCAGATTCGGCAGCAGCGACCTCAGAAACCCCCGAGTAACAACTTTCAAGCAAATCCGATGCATTTTAAAATTTTTTTTTCCACCATATTGGATCCGCCATATTTATTTTCTGAAAATTAATATCAAATTACCGGTATTGCTTGCGGAATACAAAGTATGTATCCTAGTGCTAATTTTACCGCCAATACATAGGTGATTTCCTCATTTAATCCCTTTTTATTAGCACTTTTAGGCCTCTTTTTTTAATTTTAGACACATTTGTAGGTTATATTAGGGCCGCCATATTAGATTTTTCAAAAGGCCACATATTTTTTGAAAGTACTTATATATATGAATAATTTTTGGGTATAAGCGATTTTTTTGGAAGCTCTCAATTTTGGCCATCGGGGTGGCCCGCTTAACGTGAAACGTCCCATATATATATATATATATATATATAGATTACTTGATCTTTATGGGCTAATCCTGAACATGACAATAAAATGTACTGAAGAGTTTCAAATTTTTACTTTAATTTTTAAAAATATCCATAAGGTTTCTTAAGGATATTTTTGTAACTTCTCTAGGCCAAAAATAGAACTTGTTTAGGACGTCTTTATTTCATTCTTTTTGACATCTATAGGATGTCTTTTTGGGTTCATTTTTGGTATTTTCTATGGTTATCTTTAAAACTCCTTTTTAACAATGTCCCAAGAACGTTCCGAAAAGGATGTCCTTGGGACATCTTTTTTTCCCTTTGCCCTAGCCTATTGGGTACTTTTTAGATAAATTGATATTCGAACATAATTTTATTTTTTTACCTGTCAGTATTTATACTAAAAGTAAATGATCGAATTGAATTTATGTTTTAGAAAAATTATTTATTTGTTTATAGAACTACAGAAGTTAATGGGAATTTAAAAAAAATTAAAGTAAACGCTGGTTAAATTATTATTGTTTAATATTAACTATGACGAGATCATCCAGAATATTTTTCTTGACTATTACACGCCATATGTGAATATTACAGCCTTTATGTCTGGAAAAACAATGATTTAATCAGGGTTTACTTTAATTGAACCAACGGATCGTAGAAGGGCATATACGCAATGTATTTAGCTTGGCCTATATGCCCTTCTACGATCCTTCGGTTCAATTTCTGTTTTCAATTTCTCATTAACTTCTATAGTTCTACAAACGAATAAATAATTATTACTAAATCATAAATTTAATTTGAACATTTACTGTTAGTAAAAATACTGCTAGGTAAAAAAAATTATGTTCGAATACCAATTTATCTAAAAAGTAGTATCTTGAGTAAACAATAATTTAAAAAATTAACTTTTCATAAAATTTATTTAATTAATCTTTTCTTCTTTTGGTTTTTAATTACTCAACAAAATAATATCGTAATTAAATTTAGAAATAAATTTGAAGAGCTCAAACTTTTGGGTGGAAGTTATTGCAGAGTAGCTGTGATTTTATCATAAAAAATACAAAAACTTGATTTTTTAAACATGCGTCTAACGATTTTGATTAACGACCAAATGTTTGAGATTTACCGTTTTTTATTTTTGAGGAGTGGGTGAAGGAAATAAATTCACTTTATGTAAAATTACAAAAATTCTAACGATTTTTTTCTTTTTGGTCTTAAATTACTTAGGAGACATAATAAAATAGAAATCCACAAAAAAATTAGAAGTGCCTCGACCTTTAGGTTGAACTTGCTTCGGACCTATCGTGCGGAACGTTCGCGTAGACGTAGATTCAAGTCATTGTAGAGTCAGCTTAAATGGGTGACATCAGAACGGAACGTTCATGTCTACGTACGAACGTGCTCATTGTAGAACTGATTCTCAAATTTATATATTTAGCTATCTGCTTTTCTAATTAACATACATTTCTTAATTAGAAATCATGCTATGCTGTGAACTCTATATTTTTATAAAAGTATAATGTCAAAAACTATTTATTTAGGGAAATGAACATGTTTTTAAACCACATTGGGGTGAGCAGTTAGTTGGCAAACACAAATCAGTTGTCGTAATTGTTGACATAGTTGAGGATACGATAAAAATTAATCCATTTATTCCTGATGAATATTTTGTTGGACAAGTAACTTGGACTCCAAATGGCGAATATTTAGTAGGTGTAGCTTGGAAATGTGAAGCAAGATATTTAGGATTATATGCCTGTACAAATAGAGCCAGTTGTATTTTTCTCTTAAAAACTGCTGAATTCCGTAAGAAAATTTTTTTGTCTAATAATTGAAATTAAAAAAAACTATAATAATACAGACCGACAAAATTTCAACAATTTTAAGTTACCCAAAATGTTACAACCGATTCTAAAAGAATTTAAAAAATCATATATGCAGTTGACACTTTAAAACCTAAATTTCTCGAAAACTAGAGCTAGTTCAATATTTTCAAAGTCAGATTCAAATTCTTCGCACAAAATGCTACAAAAATCGAATGTAACATTATGCAAATAAAAATTTTGTCGGACAGTGTAATAACACTAGCCTTGATGGATGAGTTCAATCAAATTCGCTAAAAAATTGATTGAGCTAATCCGCAGGGGAGAGAACGCTAATTTTTATATTGATCAAAGCTGTATTTCATAAATATTTATGTGTTTAAGACAAAACCTAATATTAATAGTATACATCAACTCTCGTTTATGAGAAAACCCGAGTTAATATAGGTAAAACACACCTTTTGAACATTTTTTATTTATTTTTACAGGCGAAATGAAAGTTGATATATTTTTGACCTTTTAATACGACTTTTCTCGATCAATTGAGGTAATAAAAACTGTTCGTTTAAAGAATCATTTTAAGCACATAAAAATCTACGAAAAATAACTTTGATTTTCCAAACTCACACTTTAACATTTTTGTTCCCTGATTTAATTTATGTGTAATAAATTAAATGTTAATTAAGAGGGGTTATATAATTACTGATCTTATTTTTAAGTGTACTTCTGGGAATAATATATTGTGGATAAACGCAGCAATATATTAACCCTCCCAGATAGCATGTAAGCTTTCAGCAACCTTGCGGCAAACTTGCCACGCAACAATGCAAACCTTTCTCGGCAAAATTTCTGCAAGCTTCAAATGTTCTACCTGACCCATGCTTGCATGGTAAGCTTACCGAAAGATTGCAGTGTAAGGTTGATTCAAGATTGCATAATAAGATCATCGCAAGATTGCTCAGTAAGCTTGTAGCAAGGTTGGTGTAAGGTTGCCAAATAAACTTGCTTGAAACCTAAAAAAATTTTTTTTAAAATGTTTCGTTTAATTAATATAATAAAATTTACATAATAAAATTATATAAATTAGACGATACATTAAAAAAAAATTTGGGTTTAAAGTAAGGTTATTTGGCAACCTTGCACCAACCTTGCTACAAGCTTATCGTGCAAGCTTACTGAGTAATCTTGCGATAACCTTATTGTTAAAATCTTGCATCAACCTTACACTGTAATGTTTCGGTAAGCTTACCATGCAAGCTTGTGTCAGGTGGGACATTTGAAGCTTGCGGCAAGTCTGCCCTACTGAAAATCCCTGTACAAGATCTTGTACAATTTCCTGTACAGGATCAGCAACTGAACTTGTACAAGTTCTAACCAGTTCCTGTACAGGAAAATGCATACGAATTTGGAACAAGTTCATGTGTGAGATCTTGTACAAGATCTGATGCAAGATTTAGTACAAGAAAGATACTTGTACAAGAAAATGTACATGATCTTGTACAATTTCATGTATAAGTATTTGTACATGAACACGTCCATGTTCTTGCACATGTTAATTCATGTTTTTCTTTACTAAAAATTAAAAACTTCAAAGGCTGCGCAATAGTTTACTTTAACCTTTAAAGCTGCGCAATAGTTTTTAGCATGCATGAGTTACGAATCTAAGTGGTTAAAAATTATCAAAATCTCAAATTTTGTTAAAAAAAAAAAATTTACAACTATACATGTGCAAGAAAATGAACGTGTTCATGTACAAGTACTTATACATGAAATTGTACAAGATCATGTACATTTTCTTGTACAAGATCTCACACATGAACACATGAACTGATCCTGTACAGGAAATTGTACAAGATCTTATACAGGGATTTTCAGTAGGGTGCCGGGCAAGGTTAGCAATGTTGGGCGGCAAGCTTGCCGCAAAGATGCTGCGAGTTTACTTGCTATCTGGACTTTAAGGACCAAATGTACAAAACTTTAACTTAATTTTGTCAATTTTTTAAGCTAACAAAACGCAAATAAAAAAATTGTCAATATATATTTTATTATGGCCCAAGAACCGCTTTTTCAAATGATGCAACAGAAAAATCTGTAAATTAAAAAATAAACAAATTACAGATAATTATTTAATAAGAAACATGAATTTTAAATGCTTTTTTTTACTTTATAATATTTTTGGACAACCTACCATTCTAAAATATCTTGACCAGGTACAAATATCGCATCAAAAATGTCTAACCTCTGACATGGTAACGTAGATTTAAAAAAATCAAAATGTAACAATAATAAGCTTAATTTTTAATAACAAATATGCATCTAGTTACAGAAAATTTTAAAAATCACCAAATCCACTCTAAAATTATTACTCGGGGGTTTTCAGGATCGTTGATTAATAATTTAAAGTAGATTTTCAAAATTTAAAAATTGTGGATACAATATAGCGGACGTCAATGTTAAAAATTCATCGGATCCACTCTAATAGTATATTACATTATAAGGACAGAAAGTTCGAATTCCGGCACTGCGCGCAGTTTAGGGCTTTCGACTGCTCTGCCCGTGTAATGTATACTATTTTTTTATATACGGTCGAAAGTATGCACAATAATTCACTAATTAAAAATATTTCAATTGCGGCCATATTTTACTTTTGTTCCTTGCTTCAACGCCTCTAACGGACACTCTGGAAGCTCTGACTTTTTCTCTGCCTCTCTCTCTTTCAGTCATGTCTCTTTTTTCGATGCCTGCCCCGACATTTGCTGCATGAGCGAAGCGAGTGCTGCTGGTCGGGGGCAGCTATCGAAAAAAGCAGAGAAAATATAAATATAACTACAATTTTTTCAACTTAACATATATTCAATTCCGTATTCAAATCTTCCAGGATATTTTATTTACTTTTATAATATGCACCGACACATACAAAAAACTGTAAGAGAGAGAGAGGTAATTAGAGAATAAGAGAGAGAGACAGCGAGAAAAAATCAGCTGACAGCAGTTGAACTCGGTTCTGTTGGGTTAAAATCGCGATGAGTTACCGAACGAGCCATTTACAATAGTATTTTTGCTCCAGCTTACAGTGGGACAGAAGGCGTTCAAACCTGGTCAAAAGTCAAGGTTTAAATTGATAGATGACAATTATGTAATCATTTTCAGAGGTAGATTTGCTACGAATATCCAAAATATTTTGTCAAATAATACATTATTGTATTAGCACTACTCGATTACAGCTTCAATTTTCAAAATTTTTGTTTTACCTTTTATACACCAAAATATGTCTGTTTTAATTATTTTTCCTTGAATTTTTAGGTTCTAAACATAAATTTTCTACTAATCAACATCAATAGAGCTAAAATTAACAGTTAAATCAAACAGTTACATATTCAGTTGTTTTGATTAGACATTATTTTATTTTCTTTGTTGCTGTCGTAAATGACATGTTTCATTTCCGAATGACTTTTCCCCTAGTTTCCGCTTCCTATAAAGTCGGTCAAGGTCTCTAAGCACTCTTTGAAACGTATAGTTTGAGATAGATGTGCTACTTTTTGCTACTTTTGCCGTAAAAGATAAAAAATTTCCAAAATATTCCATTCTACTAGTGGACACTGCATAGTGCGATCATGAGATTATACTGTCTTTTCAAAACTTTAGGGGTAAAGTGTGGTATTGGTTTTTGAGATAAATTAATATGTTATTTTAAATTATATTGCCTTAAAGGTTATTAAGTAACTATTATATGATACAAATAAATTATTTGATACCCCAAATCTTGTAATTATTCATGAAAATAATCTGAATAATTATTACTGTAAATGATGTAAATAGTTCATATTGTAAATAATTTCTACTGTAAATAACGTAAATATACCTTGTTCTGGTATACTACTAACAAAATCGTTTACGTAGTACTGACGAGCTTCAACTAAAGCGAAACCGAAACTCAGCATACATTACCTATTACAATTTTTTAAATATGACTTTCGATTTATAAACATCAACTTCGAAAACCCCGAGTAACAAATTTCAGGCCATTTGAATCGATTTTTAAAGACATAGTCCGCCATATTTGATCCGCCATTTTGAATTTTGAAAATTTGACTTCAGATTCGTAATCAGCGACCTCAAAAACCCCAAAATGCCTAGTTTCATATAAATCCATCAATAAAAAAAATCGTATACCACCAAAAATGTGAAATGTTTTTTGAGGTTTGGAAGAAACGTACAAGTGCAGGAGCAAAACGGACTTCAGATTCGTGTTCAGAAAAGTCGGAAAAATTAAATACCAAATTAAAAAAAAAATTAAAAAAATTTTTGATTTTCAGAAAAAGGGTCAATTTTTGAATTAAAAAATTTTTTTTCACCAATCGAAAGAGCACAAAAAACATTTGGAAAACATATATTTCAAAATTTTTTTTATTTACTTATATAATATTTACAATTTTTAGTTAATTAATTAACTGTTAAGGTTAATAAAAAATTATATATTTTATAAACCAATAAAGGTATCGTAATTCTGACGCTACTAAATAAAAGTTGACAAAACTCCGCATCCAACGAGCCCTATATGAAGTACTTTGGGTTAGTAGATTGTTAATAAACAATTGGATAATATGGCAATTGTTTATAAAAAATCCTCTAATCCAAACTAGTCCACATAGGGCTCGTTGGATGCGGAATTACGTCAGCTCTCAATTGGTACCTTCAGGATTGCAATAACTTTATTTATTTGTGAAATATTTTATTTTTTATTAACATTAATTAATTAATTAATATCTCTAAAATATCAAAAAAGGACATCTCAATATTTTTTGTGGTGAAAATACAACTTTATATAAAATTATTAAAAAATTAATTTACATAATTTGCGACGTGCTTTTTAAATAAATTAATATTGCGCATCTAGCGCGTCGTTGATAATTATTAAGAAAAACCTGTATCAAAACCTCGTTCTCTCTGGGGAGATTCCGCCAAACCAAAACCGTCGATGCA